GGAGCTGGCGGGCGGGCAGTGCCGGCTGCGGCCCTTCTCCTGCGAGCTGGGGCTGCTCTCTCGGCCCGACGGCTCGGCCACCTTCCTGCAGGGTCTGTGGGGTTCCCCATCCCATTATCCCATCCCATCCCGTCATCCCATGCTGCAGGGTCTGTGGGGCTCTGCTAATTGAGGCTCCCTTTCTTTCCTCACTGGGACTTATTTTTCCAGCCTTCCCCTCCTGAGAATCTCCTTCCATGCCCATCCTGGCTCCTCTTCCCGGGGCTACTCATTCCTTCCTAGCCCTTCCCGCAGGGTCTGTGGTGCTGCCCCTCCCAGGCTTCCCCTTCTCTGCTGCCCAGAGCTCCCCTACTGCCCATCCCAGGGCTCCCCTTCTCCCCTCGCTGGGATCCCGTTCAGCCCTTCTCACAAACTGCCAGGGGCTCCCGGTCCCAGGTGCGGCCTCCTCGCTGTGACATCTCCTCTCTGTGTCCCCAGGTGACACCTCGGTGCTGGCAGGGCTGTACGGCCCCGCGGAGGCCAAGCTCAGCAAGGAGCTGCCGGACCGGGCGGCGCTGGAGGTGCTGCTGCGCCCCAAGGTGGGGCTGCCAGGTGGGGATCCACTGTCCTGTCACTGTCCCAAAACGGGTTCTTTCCCCCAGAGTGCAAGAGTCAAGGTATTTGGTTTATTTACAGGTCTTGATTTACATTTTCTGGGTGGTAGATCCACAAATCCAGCACAACCACACCCCTTCACCATTTACACGTTTTATCAAACAAAAGCATTGGTATTTGTGCGCTACAAGTTGCCCAATTGTCTCAGTAATTAGTGCTCTCCCCGCTGCTGGGTAACGAGCCTCTCACACTAATTACTGCCACGCTCAGTGTCTCTGGGAACGGGCGGCGGCTCCTGGGCTCGCTGCCGGGCCCTGCCCTGCTGCACTCACCCGCTCCCTGCACGGCTGCTGCGCCGGCCCGAGGGCTTTCCTCCTTACCCAGGGACTCGTGCCAAACGTCCTTGTGGCCATCAGCCCTGCCTGGCCCGTGCCCACCGGCAGGGAAATGCCTCTGGCCGGGCGTTGCTGGCCTCCCCAGGCCCAGAGCGCTGAGGGCTGGCCGGCCCTGGCAGCTCCAGCCAGCGGGGATTTGTCTTTCCGAGGCCTGGACACCACCGAGAGCTCGCTGGCCGCTCGCTCCCAGGGGTCCAGTCTCCTTTCTAAGGCTCCAAAGAGCCCAGAGCTCAAGCACCAGAGGGGCTTCTGGGGGAGCTGTGACACCCTCCTCATTGTGCAGGCGTGCTGGAGCGCAGCCGGGAGCAGCTGCTGCGGCAGACGTGCGAGGCCGTGGTCCTGGGGGTGCTGCACCCCCGCACCGCCATCTCCCTGGTGCTTCAGGTGCTCAGCGATGCTGGCTCGGTATCCTTTCCTTTGTGGGACGGCTCTGGGGGGTCTGGGGGCAGGGGGACTCGGAGCTGTTGGTGCTGTGGGGTCCCTTGACACCCCCCAGCTGCTGTCCTGCTGCCTGAACGCCGCCTGCATGGCGCTGCTGGATGCGGGGCTGCCCCTCGCCACCCTCTTCTGTGGTGTCACCTGCGCCCTGCAGCCCGACGGCACCATCCTGCTGGACCCCACGGCCCGACAGGAGCAGGTGAGCCCTCGGGGGGTGCCCAGCTCGGCGTGTGCCCTCCGAGCCCTCCTGACCCCTGTCCCCACAGGATGCCCGCGCCATCCTCACCTTTGCCATCGCCAGCAGCGAGAGGAAGGTGCTGATGGCCACCACCAAGGGCAGCTGCTCTGTGGAGGAGGTGAGGAGTTTTGGGGGGGGGTTTTGGGGTGTGGGACTCCCTCACAGTGGGACCCTCACACCCACCTCTTCACCCCGGTGCTGTGCAGATGCAGCAGTGCCTGGCCGCAGCCCAGCGCGCTGCCGACACCATCTTCCAGTTCTACCGCGACTCCGTGCGCCGCCGCTACTCCAAGTCCTGAGCTGGGGACACCCCGCGGGCAGCTGGACTGGCCTGGACCCCCAGCCCTCAGTAAAGGACTGCTTTTCCCTCCACTCTGCCTCTTGAGTCCATCCGGTGCCGACAGGGTGTCCTGAGAGGGGCAGACACAGGACAGGTCTGGGGATACGTGTCCTGGTACCTGCTGGCTCCTGTGACCCCGGTGTGGGGACGCACGGACGCGCCTCGGACACTTCCGGTACACCCAAGATGGCGGTACAGCTGGTACCGGCGCCCTGGAGCGACCTTCCGAGCATGGCGGCACCACAGCGTGACACACTTGCATGTCTTCTTGGGCGGGGCTTGTAGCACCGCGACCAATGGGGAGGCGGTGTTGGGCTAAACCCTGAGGGGCGGGGTTTGACCGCGCATCTGACCGCGCATGCGCGGTGGGTGTGGGCTGAGGAGGGTCAGTGTGGGAGCAATAACGGGGGGCCCGTGGGGTGTGGGTGACACCAACGGGTCCGAGGGGAGGCGACAGCGCCCAGCAGTGGGGGATATGGGCCGGGATAGCGGGGTTCAACGAGGCTTTGGGCTCCGTAATGGGGGGAACCGAGGGGTGCAACGGGGGGGTTCTGAAGGATATGGAATTAGGCTGTAATCGGGGTGCCAACCCCTACTACATAAAAATTACTTTAAAAATTAAAACAAAAATAAACCCCACAGGAAACCATGGCTGCCCCCACTAAAAGAAGCCCCTCAGTAAATGCAGAGAAGTCGCGCTGAAACGCAGTGGGCAGAAAGACGGAGCTAGGGGGAAACGGGGTGTGTGGGGGCTCCTCACGTGCTCTCCCACGTGACCGGACGCGTTCCTGCCCACGTGACGCGGCGCTGACATGGCGGCGGCAGCAGCGCTCCGGAGCCGCCGGTTCAAGTGGTCGCTGGATCTGGGGGCGGNCCTCTGTCGTTGCAGCGCTGCTGGGACGTGGCTCTGGCGCCGCTGAAGCAGATCCCCATGAACCTGTTCATCATGTACATGGCCGGCAACACCATCTCTATCTTCCCTGCCATGATGGTCTGCATGATGGGCTGGCGCCCGCTGCAGGCCCTCATGTCCCTGTCTGCCAGTGAGTGCAGCCCCTGCCCGGGAACAGCCCCCTGGGTGTCCTGCAGCCCCTGGGTGTCCCACAGCCCCACATGGGGACAGCCCCCTGGGTGTGCCACAGCCCCCTGGGTGTGCCACAGCCCCCTGGGTGTTCTGCAGCCCCTGGGTGTCCCACAGGCCCCTGGGTGTGCTACAGCCCCTGCCTGGGGACAGCCCCCTGGGTGTGCCACAGCCCCCTAGGTGTCCCACAACCTCAAGGTCCCCATGAATTTCCCATGGGCCCCTGAGCCCCCCAGGTGTTCCCACAGCCCCCCAGGTCTCCCATAGCCCCATGGACAGCCAGTTGTCTCTCACAGCCCCACGGTCACCTCCACATCATTCCCCTCTGCCCAGCACTCCCCCTGTGATGCTGCCCATCTCCCATGACCCCTGTGCCAGCTCAGCGGCCTGGGGGTCACTGACAGGCACCCCAACCCCTCTGTTCCCCCCAGCACTGAAGGCCCTGGAGAGCTCAAGCCGGCGGGCACTGCAGGGTCTCGTGTTCCTGGTGGGCAACGGGCTGGGGCTGGCACTGGCCCTTTACAAGTGCCAGGCCATGGGGCTGCTGCCCACCCGCCCTTCCGACTGGCTGGCCTTCGTCACCCCCCCACAGGTGAGCCCAGGGTCCTGGGGACACCCTGCAGAGTCAGGGGCCACACACCCAGGTCCCCCCACTCATCCCTTCCTCTCTCCCCTCTCTTGGCAGCGAATGGAATTCACTGGGGGGGGCCTGATCTTGTGACCCTCTGCGACCACCCACCAATAAAGGCAGTGGCAGGATGTTGACATCGTTTCTGGGGGCAATTCTGAGGGTTTGGGGACTCAGCCCAAGGCAGCACTGGGTTGGGGTTGGGGGCAATTCTGAGGGTTTGGGGACTCAGCCCAAGGCAGCACTGGGTTGGGGTGAACCAAAAAACGTTCATTGGGCTGTACTGGGACCGCCAGGACCTGCAGTGGGAGCACTGGGAGCTTTGGGGACATGCACTGGAGCTACACACAGAGCCACAGGACCCATACTGGGAGCACTGGGAATGTACTTATGGTCCACACAGGGAGAGCTGCAGCCTGAGGCTGGCTCTGTACTGCAAGCACTGGGTTCATACTGGGAACACTGGGGATCATACCAGGATCTTGATTTGACTGTAGGTCATGCTGGTGTCATACTGAGAGCCCTGGGAACACACTGGGATCCTGCCTGAAGGGCTGTGGCTCACTAGCATTGCACTGGGAGAGCTGGTGGTGTGTGGGAAGCACTGGGCACTTACTGGGGCTGTGGCAGCCCATACTGGGATTGTGCCAGGAGGCCTGTGGTGCCAGCCAGTATTGTGCTGGGAGCACTGGGCCCACACAGATGGTGCTGGGTGTGTCCATGCTGCTGGTTTCTGCCACATTTCACCATTTTACTTTGGTAGTTTCCCCATTTTGACTACTATTCTCACCACTTCTTGCCCGTTTTTGCCCTTTTCCCATGTTATTTCATACTTTTTTTACCCATTTTTCCAGTAATTTCTTCCACCGTTGCTCCCAGTTGCAGTGGCTCCATTCCAGCAGGGACCAGTGCCTCCCAGTGTAGCCTCATGCTGTCTCCAGTACTTTGAGTGTGATCCAGGACTTCAGTATGATGTTATCATGGTCTAGAGTCCAATCCCAGTATATCCCACCAGCTCCCAGTGCCTTTCCACACCACCCCAATCTTCCCAGTGGCACCACACTGCACTGGGGGCCTGGGATGGGCAGGGCCTCCCGATGCAGTCAGTGGACACATGATGTCCTCCCGATGCAGTCAGTGGACACATGATGTCACCTCACTCGGCTGACGTGGCTGTGGCATGTCCCAGGGTGTCCCAGGGATGGGCACTGCAAACCTCCCTGGGCACTTCCAAAGCCTGAGCTCTCTTTCCATGGGGAAATTCCTGCTGCTGTCCATCCTGAGCCTCCCCTGGCCCAGCCTGAGGCCGTTCCTCTCCTCCTGTCCCTGTTCCTGGCAGCAGATCCCAAATCCCCCCAGCTGTCCCCTCCTGTTACCATCAGTGAAATCAAGCAGCATCCACTCTTCATTCAGCTGGAGGATGAGGGGCTGTCTCCTCTGAAATGTGGTGCTTGCTGAGCACAGAAAAGGCTCCTGCTCCCGGGCTGTATTTCACATGTGTGCTCACAGGTTGTCCCAGAGCAAACACACATGTGGTTACTATCTCCCTGATGTCATTAACACGTTCCCTCCCACCAGCACGTGTTCTCCTGTCCCAGCTTTGGTGGTCCCTGATGGCCAGTGACCCCACAGTTGTATCTGACCACTCAGTGAACTGGTGCTACTGTGCCCAGTTAGGAGAAAGGCTGGCCTAGCTCATTAATTTGTGAGGCTTTAAATCAATGGAGTGTAGTTTCTTATTCCTTTCCTTGGTTAATGTTTATTGTACTTTTAATTGTGCACTTCCATAGTCTAATGATTTTGCTAAATGATCATTGTGTTAACCCAGCAGGTGCAATCAGTGCTTCCCATTGTCAGGGAGTAGTGCAGAGCTGGAAGGTCCTCCTGAGGCTCCTTTTCTCCAGGCTGAGCCCCTTTCCCAGCTCCCTCAGCTGCTCCCGGTGCTGCAGCCCTGCAGATGGAGCAGTGCCAGCACTGGGGACAGTCACTGCCCTGGGCCTGCTGCCACGCTGTCTCAGATAGAGCCCTTGTGCCACTGGCCTTGGCTGCGTGGAGTCACATCCATGAGCTACTGCTCTGGTCTTGCCCAGCAGCTTTCCCACTCTTTCCAGCTGTGGAAGTGCCCCTTCCAGACGTGTCTCCCAGGGGACACACTAATGCAGGGTCTCCCTCCCCCTGTGTCTACCTGATTCCCTAAAGTTTTGGCAAGGCCACGCTGCTCCCGTTGGAGCTCAGACACCACTGATCATCCTGGCACGGCAGTCACAGCAGGTGAGTCCCTGGGAATGAGATGGCCTGCCCTGGGAAGGGACCCCTGTTAGCAAAACCAGCGGCCTGCAAGGCATGGAGACACAAAGGTGGGTTACAAGTGGGAAGAGCTTGTGAAGACACACCTGGCTAGTGCTGGAAAATCAAACAGAGCTTCCCTGTTGGCAGGTGCACAGAACTGGGATGGCTGGATTGTTTGTGAGAAAGCCAAAGCACAGAAACAGCTGCTCTGAGGAGCACGAGTGCTTGGGCATCTCATGGATCTCACATGGATCTGGGCTTGTGCTGGACCTGGAGACACCTTTGTGTCAGTGTGTAAACACACCACATCCACCACAGCCAGACCCTGCTGTCAGGACTGTCCCCTGCATTGTCCCCGGCACCACATCCAGCACCTGGCATGGACATCCCTGGGCCAGAGCAAGAGGAAAACTCCCCTTCTGAGACAAGAGGGGGAAAAGCACCTTCCTCCCTGCAGCCACCAGCTCACCTGAGCTCAGGAATGCCCTGGATTTCATTTCCAGGGGAATCCAGGGCCACATGCAATGGATAATTTCCCTGGATGCAACAGGCACCTGAGGCTCCAGGCAGGGAGTCTCCAAGTGACGTGGTTATGTTCCCAAATTAAGCCCCAGTTCCCAAACATGAGCTGCACTTCCAGGCCCCCCCCTGCCCCAGGGCTGTGGCCCCACTGGCTGAGCCAAGGGCCGGTGATCCTGGGGAACTCCTGGCTGGGAGGCAGCGAGCTGCCCTGCCCTGCTACTGCCCTGTGACTCCCTGCACCTGGAAAGCACATCCCTGCCTGCAGCCAGCGCTCCTCTGCTCTGCCTCCCGTCCCTTTGAGGCGGTGCAAAGGGGTGCTGAGCTCGAGGCAGCAGCCAGGGAAACCATCCCAGCCAACTCCACCTTACCTAGTGATTATTAAAAATAAGGTGCAACCAGGGCCCAGTGACACAACTGCTCTTCCATTTATTTCAAATCAAACTGTTGGTGAGCTGGGTGCAGGGGACACTGGATGTTGCACACAGAGGAAGGTGAGGTGGGCAGCCGCAGCACACATGACAGCGTGTGCAGGATGGACAGGGGCTTTGTTCACACAGCACAGGGAATGTTCTGGCACGAGTCACTGCCTGACCACACCATGCAGCGTTGCACGGCCAGGATTCACCTGCAGGGACCACAGGTAGCCCTGCCCATGCTGCCTGCCCCGGGTCACTGCCGGCTGGACATGCTGAGGTGAGATGTTTCGGAACCATCTGGCGCTGTCTGTCTGCCTCTGACACCGTGTTTGATTAGCGCCTGGGGGAGAGCAGCTGCAGTTCGTTCCGCGGGCTCGTACGCCGGCCCGGAGGGGTCATATACTGTCCAGCTTCTTCAGGATGAAGGGAGCTGAGAGAGAAAACAATGCGGAGTCGAAGCGAGTCAGCGGCGAGCTGGGCAGCATCTGACCCCGAGCCCGGCCGAAACACCGCCCCCGCTGTGCCCGTGCCCCGGCACATCCCGCAGCTCCACACAGCCCGGGAGCGCGGGCCCAGAACGCCCCCGGGGCTCGGGCCCAGCCCGTCCCGGGGCCGAGACACCCGCTCACTCACTGATCCGCAGCAGTGCGACGTAGATGAGGAAATTGCGGACGGAGGAGAGGACGTCGCGGCGCATCTTCCGCCTGAGCTCCTCCGGGTCCATCTTGGGCCCCAGCCCCTCGATGCGGAA